GCAAACATGTAATGCACATTGCAGCATTTAAGTTTTATTCATCGTTTTAATTTGTTCGTCACATCTTCGTACATGCATAAAAATGAATAATTGAAATGTTCTCCAGATGTCTTTCTTATTTATTTATTTTTTTCTTATCATGTAAATGACATTTCCGAGAGAATGAACAAACTACGTCACTGACTATGCAAACACTTTATCCAAACGTCACGTTTGTATATACGACACATAAATAACAGCTCCCTTTTCGCACGCTAATACCCATTGAGAAGTTCCTTCGCTAGAATGTTCGTATATGGTAAATATCAGAAAGTGGTCTGTGTGTACGAGTACCACCTGTATATGAGCAGTTATTCTGTTGCTTACAGCTAATGGAGTAGAACCCAAAGCACATGAGTTACTTGAGTTTTCACAATTGGACGATTGTACGATTGTACGATTTTGTTTTTTTATGAAGTTCATCAGGTGAAAGATTTTAATGACGATACAATTAAATGACTTGGAAAAAAGTTACGAATGGAAAAGAACTACGATGATGATAGCGAGGGAAGTTGCGAGTGTAAGCCAACTCTGTTGTTGCTGCAAATGCTTGACATATTGCCAGCTGCCGGTATTTAAATTCGCCTTTACCAGTAGCCATTCGAGACCAGCAGTCCTTATGAATATCAGTTCTTTATTAAATTGTTTACCTTTGTTTAATTAAACTTTAATTTAAGTCTAACAAAGTAATTTTTTTTTTATTATATTTTATTATATTTTATTTTTGTTACGTGCTTTCTAAGTTAATTTCGTACGTAATTACTCATTTGCGTTCGCTTGCGGCTCTTACGTTTCGGTCGAGATTCCTTCATTCGCCTTTCTTATTTCGCTTACAAATTATTGAAGTTGCACATTAATTATAAGAAAATTTATTTCTTCAAGTTTAGTGAAGGAATTTTACACTTTTTTGTGTAAAAATTTCTTTCACTTTATTTCACTTGAATACGCAAGCGAAATACGTTTTTTATGCCTGTTTTCATTTGTGTAGCAATTACATTCACAAATTGTATTTTAATTTTACAGTGACGTGAATTTAATTTATGAGAAAACTTCTGAGAAGTTTTTAATTGTAATTTTCGCATTTATTTTAATTTTTATTTCAAATAAAGCTACAAATACAAAGCAGCTATATATATGCATACACCTAAAAATATATTTCAGATATATTTAAAAATATTTCTATGAAATACAAAAAAAATATGAATATGTAAGCATAAGTAAATTTAACCATATAAATATATTAATATTTAACAATGTATATTTTAAATAACAATTACATAGTTTTTTATATTTATGTATATATATATACGTTTATAAATATATAGTTAGTATCTACACATAATAGCTTTGATATATTTTATATTATGTATTTTAGTATATTACTTTATTATAATTTTTTGTATTACTTTCATATTCAATTATGTATTCATAAAATATTTATATTTTATGTAAATCTCCATATATAAATATTATTCACATTTTTATTACTTACGCAAATGTAATTACTTTGTATTTATCCGTAACGTCATACATTGCGTATGAGTGACGCTTTAAAATAAATTCATCTGACATGATGTAGGCATTTTTATAATGTGAATGTCATTTTCGGGTTAATTTAAGAGGAGTATTTAAATATTCCTTAAAAATGTAGAAATTATATTGTTATTGACTACTCAATGATTGTTAATTATAAACAGATAAATTAAATTAGTTACTAACGATTTTTAGAACAATAAAAATATTTCTATAAAATATTTATTATTGTTAAAATATTTCTATAAAATATTTATTATTGTTAAATTAAAATAAAATTTAGATTATATGTATTTAAAAGTCGCAGTGTATCGTTGGGGTTTTCCACAAGAATCATAGTTGTTTTTTTAATCAAACTTAGTTCAACAGATATAACAGTTTTATTATAAGGTAAATTACACAGCAGCAGTGCATATAAACATATTAAAACATATAGATCTGAAGATAAGTTTGGTTCTGTTTATTATCTGAGCTGTTCGGGAAGTAAGGTTTCCATTAATTTTTGTTAAACCATAGTGAGAAGTTTAAGTATGTTTACTATGTCAGCTGACACAAGTTCTGTGAACAATAGTAATTTTTCTGATGACTTCTTTTAAATCAAGTGGAACTTATAGGAAGCTTAAGCATCGGCATTATAATAAATAAATAAAAGTAACTTCAACAACAAATCACTTTTCACTTTTAATGATAATTTATTCTAACTTAAATGATCTAACTTAATAATTAATTAATTTTTTTTTATTATATGCTAGAACATTAGCATTAATATAGTGATAACACCTAAGTAACATAAATTATTACAACTTGATGTATTTTGTTTGAATTAAAATTATAGTATCGATCTGTATTGGCATATAAAGTTCTAATACAAAAATTAAATCTTACTAGATGATCTATTTAGGGCTGTTAAAACTCTGCACTGTGAAATTTGACTATTTTTATGCCAAATATAAGATATTTTTTGAAAGACAACATAATTAACTATTATCTACACAAATTAATATTTATGCGTTACATAAACAGATATCCAAATGATGCAGTAATGACCAGAGTGCATTATGGTATCAATCGATTCCACAGATATTGCAATTGAAAAAGAGTATTTTGTCAAGTAATAACGTAAATATTCAGTTTAATATTCAATGTAGTATCCTCTTGAGGGCCATATTTCTATACCAACCTGGTTCGTAAAAAACTTTTCTATGGTTTCTTTAGAAAAATACGATTACATAAAGTTATACTAATCTAATTTAAGTCAGAGTGTTATAATTATATGATAAATAGTTACTATTCGTGTATAAATTTGCTTTTTTCTAATAATAATATATCCCTACGTTTCACATGACTGTATTTGATATAAAGTTATACAGTATAAAAATATTCAGATAGTGAGTTTTCAGCCTAGATTCAATTTTCTTGAATTTATCTCCCACTTGTTCTCCCGTTTTTATTACTTTATTCTATTCTAAAATTTCCAACATACAATGGCACTTTTCACTATTTATCCTCATTAACAATGCTTTTTATATGCTTTTTACTGGCTGATCTCACGGAACTTGGGCGAGTTACTATTTTAACTCATTATTAAAACTTCCTGACGAGTTACAATAACATAATAAAATATAGGTTATTAGAAACAAAATTAGAGTCTATATTTTACAAGTCTGAAGTCATAGTATATGTCAATAAGTTTGGTAGATATTTTAAAAGGTTTTGGTTTTTCCAAGTTGTCCAATTAACATAAAACTACTGCTTTAAGTTCTCTGTCTATAGATTTTTTCTGTTAGTTGTGTTTCCATTAATAATTCCATTATTGATGACACTATTTATACACCTACCTATGCACCTATTTATACATCTATTTATGCACCGTTTTTATGCACTTCAGATAAGAACTGCACGTTTGGAATTGCGTGTGAATGCAAACTACTGATTAAATAAGTTATGTATGATTTATTATATGTATTTTTTTTATTAAATTAATTATTGCACAAATACTCCATTTCAAAAACAAGTTTGCCCATAAATTGCCAACTTCTATATTCATGTGAACGGCTGACTTGTAACAAAATATTTAACATGAATTTCAGTTTTGATGTTGTTGTTGCAAAATCAGTGGCAACTATAAATGGCAAATGTCCTTTTAAGTTAGAATGAAGCCCATAATTAAAGGAAAACAAACACCAGCGCACAGTGTTATCGTCGACGAACACATTTTGCAAGTGCAGCATAAATTGTGAACACCCCGACACCTCTTAACTGCACGTGTGCGATGCAACTTTTCGTCCATGAAAATAATTTTTAATTTCAATTTATTTTATAACGTTGCCTGCAATTTAATTTGCATTGACATACAAGTAAAAAGTTTAAGTTTAATTAAAGGAAAGTATTCATTTAGTAAAAAAGCTACATTTAATAAAAAAATTATTATTATATATGTATATAGCAGCAGAAATGCAATATTTCAACTTTAGATATAATTTTTAAGTTTTATATATGAGACAAAGTCAATAAATTGTTACAGTAACCTTGTTTGTTTTTTGTTTTTAAATTAATTTATTTTTATTGCTCTAAATTACTTCATTTGAGATCAAAACTTCTTTAAGCTGTTCAGATTACATGATTTGTCTAACCCCTGAAAATAAATCTTTATGTTGTTGCTTTCGGCAGTACTTTCTTTTTGATTATAAGTTTCTTTCATTCCAATCATCTCCTAGCCACGATCTATAAATTGCTCACCAGTGTTTCACAGCTTCCTTAATCAACAATCTCTGTAACTGCGAGAGAGGGTATGTCTTTTGTCTGAATTAAGTTTGACTATCCAAACTTTAAAGTTTTAAAGATCCATAAAAATGTCGTGTATGACTCATGTATGACATGGATTGCATCTCTTTAATAAAAAAATTATAAAAAGAACAAAGTAACTATAAATTAGGATTGTGCTGTCTAATACGATTGGCACATTAACAGGATATAGTCTTATTGGCAGGCATACGAAACAATTGCTGTAGTAGCAGTTTAGTATCTTCTTGTTGTTTATCAGTGTGTTAGGAGGTGATCGGTTGGAGCATTAATCAATGACAAATGTAGATACATTTGTGGATCGGAATATAAACTATAAAATGCTATTTATCTAGTCCGTCACTGCTCGATGTTCACTAGAAACCGTCTACTCTTGTTAGATTCGACTTTTCTAAGTAGCTATTACTTATTACTGAGTATATAGGTTTATTCCTTTTAAACTCTCAGAAGTTATTATAAATCTTTTCTGCGGTAACATAATTGGTTTACTTCTTTAGGCATAAGTTTTACATAATTAATAGTTAATTATTAGGAAATAAATAATTGTTTTTCGATTTTATTGCAAATTCACTTATTATATTGAAATAATAAATGAAATTTAAATATTTTTTTTTTTTTAATAATAGGGAAGTATGGCCAGAAAATGATGTGTTTGGTTCGATATCTGCTGCGCCAGAAGACGAATTATTGCTACTTCGTGAGATTTACATGCACACCATAACAACAGGTAAATACATAGTTTTTAATTTTTAAACAATTATTAATTATTTTTTTAATATTTTTTATAACATAATATATTTATTATGTTATATATATTTATTTTTATAAAACATTGTATTATTTTTTATTAAAAAGACAAGATACCATAAATTAATTGCTTACTTCTTATAAGACTAAAACATATAAGACTTCATATCTGATATATATATATCAGAAATAAATCAAATATACTAACATTTAGATACACAACTGTCTCCACGAATTACTCACAATTTATTACAACATATTAAAATTAATATTTCTCTCTAAAGCCGAGGATTTTTTCTGGGTTATTTGTCATGGATCTAATTTAAATACTAACTCAAAATATAATGGATGATATCAGTTCAATAAAAACAAATTAGATAAAAATAAAATATATTCAGAAAAATATGCTCTAACCACATACTATTTAAATTGACATTTTGTTAGAAAAATTTTAGCTCATGTGGTAAGGAAGATATGGAAACCACCTATGTTATAGTTAAACCAACATCATGCGTCGAGTAAAAACATTTTAACCTGAGATTTAGTTAAAATCTGGTTAAATTAACCAAATAATTTTTTTGAATCTACAATAAAATTAAATAAAATAAAATGCAATATAAAATAAAATAGAAGAAAATCTCCATGTCTTAAATACTATCCATACATTAAATACCATTTTGAATACTTGAAATTGCAACAATTAGGTTTATTTGGGTAAGAGCTATATCTAATAATAAATTTTAATATATTGGATATGTTTTTTTATAAGGATAGAACTACCATATAATAGAGATTTCTAATGTTATAGTACCGATAGAGTACTATAAAATGTTGGTCTAATAACGAACCTTGTAGTATAGAAAGCTCTAATCTCTTATATTAGACACATTTATAAAAAAAAACAAAAACAAAAACTATAATATTTATAAATATGTATATATTAGTACAAAAGGAAAAATATAATGAAATGTACATAGTTTAGAAATGAAGACTGTACATTGGACTTCAGTTTAGCAAAATTTCTTAGTAAATGACACCTTAATATATAATTTGAACGTATTTAGTTGTATTGAATTTTTCTTCTTTATTATAAAGCATTTAAATATAGTAATATCTATACAAAAAATTGTTTAAATTTAAAATAAATTTGTTAAAACTTTTACAAAAAATTAACAAAACTTCAGAAAAATGTGCGAACACAAAAGTCAAGTACGGTGCGCTGACACTGAGCTTCAAATTTGGCAGGGAACAAGTTTGATTCCTGGTACTTGCAGTTTTAAAAAATTATTTACAAATAATTAAATACAAGCAGTATTTCCTAGACCACTGATGATGGGTATTTGGCAATACTCGAAACAGCTGTATGGTCAGCCAAAATTCAATAAATTAAAATAATATAAAATGAATTTTTGTTTTTGTAGTTTACTACTGTTCGAGAAACCTCTTTAAAATTATTTAAAAAGAAAAAAATGAATTTAAATTTAATTGGTTAAAAAAGGAATTCTTTTATATTAATTTATTATATAAGTATTAATAAATATAATAAATTTAATAATAAAGAATGAGTAATTCTTCGAAATTAATAGTTTGATAAAGTTATTATCCGTAAATAATTTAATTAAATAATTTAGATAATACAATAATATACTTTACTTACTTTTTTTTCTCAACTTAAAAATTTATTACATTCGTAAATAAAATAAAAAAACAAATTTATGGAAATGTTCCCTTTATATTTTACTAGTAAAAGCTTTTAACCATAATGCAGTATCTTATATGACATTTTACTTATGTAGATGTACATATATACATACATTTATATGTTGAAAAAAAGTTCGTTCACAATACCTTCGCGGTTAATAAGGATTTTTTTTCGTTGTTTACAAACATATTTTGAGACATTTTATGAAGAACTTTTGGATCAAAGTTTATGAAAAGTTGAGAAAAAACTTTTGAGGCAACGACTTAAATATTGTCTTAAGCAGAAGTTGTGTGACTTCTTAAGTGCTGACATCGGATTATCTTTCCAAAATTTATTATCCTTGTAAAGAATTGTCATAAATTTAAACATGCACAGGTGTGTGCAAAAAAGCTCGATCCAAATCAATATTATATCATGTTTTGTATTTTTATTTTATTAATAATTATACATACATAATATTTATTCATATATACATATATATTATATATGATGTACAGCTTATAATCCTGAATTAATAAGAGTTATTTGTTTATTTTTAATTAATTTAATTACTCTATATTTGAATTTTTTAATTAGTACAAAATGCTTGTATTGTTTTTTTTAAACACATTTTTATTATCAAATTAATTTAACTTATTCCCCAAAGTTCAATATATTATGAAATACATGCGTAATTGCACAACTATTATTAATTTTTTTATTTTTTTCATTGGATCGGCAGGTGGTATGAGTCATATAACATATGTGCTGATTTGGCTTAGTAATTTTATTACCCATTCTCTTAATTTTTTTTTTGTGGTGTGTACTGGAACATAATTGGCAAACAAATATTATTTAGATTTGAGTATCTTCTATTTAGAGATTATATTTAGAGTTAAGGATTTATAGGAATTATTTTTAAAATTTTGCTATATACCTAATTTTAAGTAATCAGTTTAGATGGTAATTTTATGTCAGTTATGACGGTAGTGACTATTTTATTGAATTGAAACTATTGTATTTTATAGATGGCTTTCGAAAAGAATTAATGTTTATAATTTCGTGTTAATATAACACAGCAAGTGAATTTGTTAATGAACCTTCATAGCAAATTAACAAAAATTCAAAATTGAACACACAAGTCAAGTACGGCTTTGGGTCAGTTGGCTAATGAATAGTGACGACTCTGAGCTTCAAATTAGGTAGGGCACTAGCTCAATTCTTGTTTTCTGCAGTCTCAAAAAAATTATTAATGAATAATTATATATAAAAAATAGTTCCAAGACGACTGATAATGGCTATTTGGTAATCCATTCTCGAAACAGTTGTATTGTCTGCTAAAACTTCAATTAATTAAAATAATATAAAAACAATTTTTGTTGTTGTCGTTTACTACTTCTCGAAACCTCTCTAATTTTTTGAATGAATAATCAATAATAACCGCATAATTATTGACTTATCTTCCTATTTACATCTTCATCCGCCTTAATATTATTATTATAAAAATTATTTTTATAATGTTATTATATATTATATATTATTTAATATTGAGAATTTATTACTTAAGGCGAGTTTTATGAATTTTTTCTGTTCAGAATTTTTTAATAAAAGATGGAAAGACTTAATGATATGCAGGCATCTGTATGCAATTTCACCACGCTCAACTATCCAATTATTTAAATCCAGAGTTTTTCCATTATATGGTAACACAAAGGACGAATAGGCCTAATTGGATCCACTTGGATCGCCGGTATAACTTAACGTAACCTTACTCAAAGCGACTTATTACTATTTATATTTAAATTTTTAAATATTTATATGTTTAAATATTTAATAATGCTTAGCTAAGATTTAAAATACGCGTTCTTTTGTTGTCAATTAAAGATATTAATAATATCACTTAATTTAATTTAATATTTTTGAAGTCCTCAAATCTGTTAGAATTAGACATTCTTCTACAGCGTCTTTTACTTGAAAGCGTACATAATGTTTGTAATACCGCTTATATATAACACAAAGCATAGTTTTAGCTACTTTTCGGTAATTGTCAGTAATAAATACTGAAATATATAAATATTACTAAATTTTTTGACTATGTTAATTACTAACTCCAACAAAGGAAATGAATTATTCTTAGGCATTTAGAAGAGTTTATATGTAGTGAAGATTCTATAATATCAGAACGTTTTTAAAATACTCAGAAAATTTAATACAATTAAAAACATTTGATCTATCATATCTCATTATCAATAATATGCTATTTTACGATATAGCTTATCTTTATAATGGAAATCATAGAGAAGGCGGAACAATCAGAAGAAAAACACAGTAAAAAATTGAATAAACTTAAATGAGTTTTCACAATAACGACTTCTATATATTTGTTGTATATATGTTAAAATTGTATATGAACTTTTAGTATGAAAACTTTTATTTAAAAGTAATTTATTTATTACACTTGGCCTGGCCCAGTAAAATATATGTTAAAAGTAACAAGTATAGGAACAATAACATCATCAACAACTCCAACAATAGCGTCAACAAATACCAATTGCAACGTAGAGTGGTTCACTTAAGAGGACGAACTACAGTAGAAGTGCAAAAGCCTATATATCCTGGAATTACTTTTCAACAGCAAAAAATAAACAAATACACTTTATTTTTTTTTTTCTTGTTTTGGTTGTTTACTTTGGTCCTTTGTTTTCATTTATAGGCTGCAGTTATGTATTTATAAGTGCTTTTCCGGCTTGTATGGCTTTACTTGTTTGAAGCACATTTTCCTTGGCTCGGCGTCTAATGTTTGAAAACCTTTTTGGCGCTTTACCCCAGTGGCATATTAATGTCACCGAAAACATCAACAGGAAAGTGCAAGAGTACAGGACATTATTGTCATTTTTCTTTTTAATTCAAAAGCGTTGAATATATTTCAACAGACTTATTCTACATTTGTGCAATTTCCGGTTACAAGGCATATTATTTTTTTAGAAATATTTTAAAATGTTGTGCTAAATAGAAATATATTTTTTATTTTATATATCAGACATTAATAAAATCCAGGTATTTAGGATTTTATTCCTTTAATAAAGGGCTTTATTTAACTAAGTTTGTTCCAATATTTAGGTGTGCTAGTGAGAACATATAGTTTACTAGAGGTTGTTGAAAAGGCGATGTAAATTCTCTAATTATCTTAAAGCGGGTTCTATGTGAGCGCTAATTCCTTCTATGTTTGAGACTATAATGATAAAAAAATAATAAGTATTTTATAAAAAATGTATACTTTATTATATGAAAATTTCAAA